AAAAAAAACTAAACCAGCCATCTGGCTGCCATTCTTCATTGGGGTGGGGGGGGTTGGCAGGGAGGGGAGCACATTGGGGAACCTGACCTTGGGGGAGCAGGTAGAGTAAATCCGGCCCTGGGTGTGAGTTGGCCCTATAAAGTTCCTCTGATTCAGCCTTCTTTGCTCTCTGAGTGTTACATTGTATTCATGTCATCAGACACAATGTTCTAGAACAGATATGTGGAATAAGTACATTGATCTGCAGACACCATGACATCATCAGCTTGCACACTTCGGGGACTCATCCCAGCCCAGCTCTCCCGCTGCTCATTATTCCCGTGAATGAGTTCGGCGAGGGCAATGACGTCACGATGATGTCAGCGCCTTCCACTAAGACGCACACAATAAAGAGGAGGTGTCGGCACAACCGTCCATGGCCGTGCAGGGAGACGATTACGGTAGGAAGCTGTCCTCATCCCTTGCATGACACACCGCAACCTGTAACTCAGCAGAACTACAAGTCACAGCAAGCCAGAATCGTGCTTGTATTTCTGCCCGCCCAGTAAACACGTTGTCACCCAGAGCAGAAGAGCCAGAAAAAAAAGTGCTAGCAAATGTCAGCGGAGAGGAGTGGCCCCTGTCAGCAAGTTATGGGGCCCCTCCTCCTCCTCCCAGCGCTCGCCTGAAAATGCTTTATTCTTCTGCTAATTGGGTTGACAAGACTGACGTCATACGATTTCCTGGAATCGGGTTACAGCCGGGGAAATGGAAATGTTACACTCTAAACAAGATGCAGATTGACGTCAGCACAGGCTTACACTGTGATTGTGGGAGCTGCTCTCTGATTCATCATGCTGCTGGCAGCCTGGGCTGTGTGTGTGCGATCCATCCAGAACAGAGGGGACTTTCCATGACTTGTGCCTAAGAGCTAGCACTCAGCTGGGGGACAATGTGGGGTGAGTGCCATCGGCTGACTTTCTACCAATCCAGGCTCACTTTGCTGCATGGCTTCCTGTCCCAGTATGGATCTCTTGCATGATGTGTGCTGCTTTCTATACTGGGACCTGGCACTGAGGGGTGGCCATAGATGGGCACATCGCTCTCTGAGAATGAAGGGCTGCTGAGTGATGTGGCCAGCCTTCTTCTGGGACCTGCCCCAACTTTACTTCTTTTTGCTTCCCCTGGTGGTTGCATAGTGAAAAGGGGTCATTCCCTTCTTCTGATTGGCCGGTGGGTGTAGAGATTTTTCCAATATGTTGGACGATCCCTGCCAGCGCTGACGACACTCGTACGTTGTCACTCTCAGAGGTTAACCCATGCATTGACTGACGGTTGTAAGGCGAGCTTGACGTGCTGTTGTTGCTTAAAGTGCATTTCCACTTTGAAAAACCGATTTGGGAAGACTCTAATATATGTTTGTAATGTGTGCTTAAAGTTTATTTCCACTTTTCAAGTCAATTTTAAGAACCCCTCGCTATATATTTGTTATGTGTTCCCAATTGTTTAGTTGTTCAGGATTAGACATAGGCAGCTTCTATGGCTTAGAATAGATGACAATGTGAAGATAAAGGACATTCAATGTACAAACCAAGCGTTGAGATCTTTAACCCTTTGTTAGAGCGGACATCTATTATAGAACTGCATAGTGAAAAGGGGTCATTCCCTCCCTCCCTGAGGTCTGCCAGCACGGTGCAGACAGGGTTAATTATGGTCAGCAAAACTCCTCAGTACCCTCCTTAGAGGGTGCTCCTCCATCTCTGGGCAAACCAAAATCTTCAGGCTGCCCCTGCACTGCAAGGGTTAAGTGCTTGTTAATGTCCAGGGGACTGGAGTAAGGCACATTACCTTATCCTTGCTTCCACAGTAGTCATTGCCCCCTCCCTCCACTTCGGCTAGTGGAATGTCCCCCAGCATCCTCATGTCTAATGCAAGCCTATGTAACCTGTATTAGGTGTGATGACATCAGTGGTCCTTAAGAGCACCAGAGAGAAGGGGGAGAAAATCCCTGAAGGAGCCAGCGGGAGCCGGGATCAGGTACGTTAAAAAGCTTTCTCCTTTCCCCTAGGTAGAAAGGATCAGTTGCCATGCAAGGCTAGTTTTCATGTTTGCCCAGTGATGGGCCCGTTACATAGCGGGGGAAAGCTAAGTAAGACTTTTCAGCAAGTAAAAAGGTAAGATGTCATTTTGAAATATTGTTTTTGATGCTATGTGAAGGAGAACATATAATATATATAAAGCAGACATTGCAAAAGTGGAGATATGCTTTAAGAATGCAGGGCTGTGTACAGTATGGTCATCCTGGGGCCGTGATGGGGAAAACATTGCAGCAGTAGCCAGCAGCGTGCCGCCGGTGGGACCTGTAGCTCATCCCCCGTCAGGCCTGGATACGGCCTTATTTAGCTGTGATAGGGAGTTGATCTGGCTTTGGTTGGACGCGGTAAGGCAAAGCTTCCCGCAAACGGATTTATTGCAAATTAAAAGGTAAGCTGTCATCTGTCATCAAGGGGCTGGCACAGTTCTGATTCAGAATACTGAGAGATGTGACATGACTCCGGTAGCTGTAAACATAGAAGATACCCGCTTGTCACATGCTGGGGCTTGTAGTTCCAGAAGATTGACAGATTGTGTTTGGCTTGCCTCGGTTTGTCATGTATCGTGTATTTTTTGTTTAACCACTTGCTGTCCACAGCAATTTCTTACTATTTGCACACACATGATATAGCGTATTTATCGCTCCATAAGACGCACTTTTTTCCCCCCCAAAAGGCGGGCAAAAATGTCTGTGCGTCTTACGGAGCGAATTTTCCCCCCAGGTCTCGACAATCTCCCGCGCCAGCAGCCCTACCGCCTCAGCCGTCACACACACCCCACACGCGTCCAGCGCGTGTGAGAGCTGAGGCGGCGGGGCTGACAGTGTACCGGTAATTACCTCTTTCATAATGCCGCTGCCCGTGCTGCCGCTGTCTAACTTCTGTGTCTGACCGGCTTCTCACCTTCCTGTGACAGGGAAAGGGAGGAGTCTCAGTATACAAAAGTTAGACACAGGCAACGGCATTGTGGAGGCGTGTCTTATGGTCAGGTGCGTCTTATGGAGCGAAAAATACGGTAATCTGACTTTTTGGCTAGAAAACCGCTTCAGACCCCCAAACAATGATATATATTCTGAAAGCAGAGGCCCTGTAGAATAAAAAAATGCTAGTTGCAATTTTTTATGTCGCACAATATTTGGGCAAATGTTTATCAAACCAGTATTTTTAGGATAAAATACACTAAAATTACATTTTCTGCACAGAAACAGAATATAATACCCAATTTTTTAGTAAAATGTAAAAACTGTGTTCGCACACAAAGCCGCAAAAAACTTAAATACCCCAAATTTCCCACAGGGGACACTCCTAAAAGCTTTTACCGCTCATCAGTTTAGTGGTAACAGTGATTAATGGCTCTAGAAGTATTGCCCTCACTTCGATGTTTGCGGCGATATGTAACATGTGTAGCCCAATGTTTGTTTTTGCACTTAGGCGCACCGACGCGTGTTTGTGTATGTATGTGAGGGAGCGGGGGACTTTAAAAAAAATTTTTGGCATTTTTTTTAGATGTTACTTTTACTTTTTTTTTTTTTTACACTAACTTTATTGCTATCATATAGGAGGATAACAAGCTCCCTATGTCAGGGGTAGGCAACCTTGGCTCTCCAGCTGTGCTGAAACTACAAATCCCATCATGCTTCTGCCTCTGGGAGTCATGCCTGTGGCTTGCAATGCCTTATGGGTTTTGTAGTTCCAGCACAGCTGGAGAGCCGATGTTGCCTACCCCTGCCCTATGTAATAGCAGATAGGGTGTGACAGGTCCTATTTATGGAGACATCATGGTTCTTTCAGACCTTTAATGTCAACTAGGGACCCCAAAGAAGCGGAGGAAGCGGAGATCTGCTTCACCAGCTTCATCTCCTGACTCTAAGAGCCGGAGAATTTACACAGTGACACATCACTTCTGGGTCCAGTGATCGGAGGAGAGATCAGCGGTTGGAAGCCTGCTGATCTTTCGCCAATCATTGTGGAGAGACCCATCGTGACAGTTCTGGGCCCTACACAGAGGACAGCAGAGCCTGGGAAAGCGGGCGGCGGCCCTGGTGGTGCAGAGGACACAGCGCCGCACCGTACAAACAATTCGGCGGCTGTATAAACGCCAGGTCACTTGTACATTAACAGCCATCGCCGGCTGTTTAAAAATGACACCAAGAACATGGCTGCAGCAGCTGTGTTCTTGGTTTAACCACTTCTGCGGGCCGCCGTATATGTACGTATTGCGGTCCGGAAGTCGTTAAAAGAGAACTATGGGGTAAGTGTTTTCCCCCATAGATCTCTTTAGGGTCACGAGAAGACATATACTAACCCCCTCCCGTGACCCAAAGCTCAGTATATAACGGGATATTGCCGATATACTGTCTGGATCCACCCAGCTGTGTGAATGACAGCTGGCTCTGCCTATCTAGAGGCAGAGCCAGCTGTGCCCACCCCCTCCCCAGTTCGTTCTTCCAGTCAGCGCTGGAGGATCGGAGCAGGGAATCCCTGCGGGGAGCGGTGACTGACAGCCACCACTCACTGCAGGGAGACCATCGGGAAGTGAGCGGATTGGCTGCCTGTTTCTGCTCACTTCCCGATCAACAGAGAAGCTTTTAAAATTTGGTCATGAATCCGAATATTGTTATCCCTTTTTTTGTCATAGTAATCAATCAGATTTTTTTTCCTGATCTATGCTGGGCATGTAAAGATTCTGATTGAGCGTCTCTGGTGACAGCAGCACACTTTCTAGTTTTCATACAGTGTATCAATTTTATTTCTCTCTCTCGCTCTCTCTCGCTCACTCTCTCGTACTCTCATTCTCGTTCTTTCTCTCGCTCACTCTCTCGTTCTCTCTCTTGCTCACTTTCTCGTTCTCTCTGTCTCGTTCTCTCTGTCTCGTTCTCTCTGTCTCGTTCTCTCTCTCGTTCTCTCTCTCTCGTTCTCTCTCTCTCTTTCTCTCTCTCTCTCTCTCTCTCTCTCGTTCTCTCTCTCTCTTTCTCTCTCTCTCGCTCTCTCTCTTTCTCTCTCTCTCTCTCTCTCTTTCTCGTTCTCTCTG